GTCCGGAAAGGACGTTTGACAATAGGGAGCCCTGCAAGGTTCTGGAGCTACAACCGTGGCTGGGGATGGAAAAGTGTGAGTCAGTGCTCCCGTGGTCTGGCCTCGAGGCCAGATTGGGCAACTGCTTAGCCTTCCTTCCCCAGGGACGCTCTTCCGGCCCTGGAGAAATTCCGCAGTGGTTTCTGTACCAAGTTGTTTAGGCTACTACCAGAGTCTGGGCCACAGCAAGAGTCAGGGCCACACCTCAACTAAACCTCAAGGTGGTCAAAAGCATCCAGCCCTGGAGCGACATTCCCCAGGACCCTGTGCTGGGATTTTTTGATTTGGGCAGATTCAGCTAATCTTAAATGAGCAGCTGCTCTGTGCCTGGCACAGCTCCAGGGTCTCTGGTTCCAGGCTGGGCTTCAGTACCCAGCCCCCACTCGCACGTGGGCAACACCGAATGTGTGCTGTCCTCCCAGGCACGGCTCTGTCCCTCGGCAGGCCTTTCCACCATCTGCCCAATGGCTGAGCCCCGGGTGTGGACAGGATCCCTGACCCCTCCTCCCCTGGTCTCCGTCTGGCTGCTCCTCCCTTCCACCTCCTGCAGGCTGGCTGGCCCCACCCAGGGGAGCTGCCTGTCTCTGGCGCTGGCCCAGGGTCCTCCCTCGTTGCAGCCAGCACAGTCCCTGGACTGTCCATCACTGCCTGCAGGATGACGGGTCCCTGCACAGACACCTGCTGTGCCGTGCCCTGCGCACAGACTTTTGCATTTGCACAGACTTTTGCTGAATGCGTGGATGGGAAGAGCTGGGGAGGGGCTGGGTCACAGCCTTCTCATCACCGAGGGGTATTTCTGAGGAAGAGGGGGATAACTTGCTTCCAGAACCAGTAGGTAGCTTCAGTCCTTCAAGAAGACCTGAATGTCAGAGCTGCCCGCGATGGCCAGAGCGGCCTCGGGAGGAAGGAGTGAGCACTTGTCACTGGAGGCATATGAGCACAGGCTGGGACAGCCTGGGACGAGAGCCCCTGGAGCTGTGCCAGGCACAGAGCAGCTGCTCATTTAAGATTTGCTGAATCTGCCCATCAACAGATAAGGACTTAGGACTATTTTGGAAAATGGGGACCAGGATCTCAGATGGGCCACCCCAGCCACCAGGTCCAGGCTGGGCCCAGCTGGCCATCTGTGCAGACTCCCCCGCTTTCCTTCTGATGGCTGTCCCGGGGTGAGGGGTGAGAGGGGCGTGTGCGACCTAAGGATGAATCACATCTACTCGAGAAGCACGTCTGAGGCAGATATGAGTGGGAGCAGCAGAAACTTCCAGTAAGGGCTGCCCTCCTCCCAGCACGGGCTGCTCTCAAGCTGAGTGATGTGGCTCCCCAGCCCCAGGGTGCTCCTGCTGCTCCCAGCAGAGGCAAGGAAGGCTGGCAAACCCCCTCCTCCCTGCACCCCTCCTGTCAGGGTCCCTTCCTGGCGCATCAGGAGGAATTCTGGAGTTGAACAAAAAGCCACATCAAACCAGGAGCCCTGCGGAGTGTGCTGCCTAACCAGCTACTAGGGGAGGGGGAGGCCAAGGCAGGAGGACCACACTGACCCTGCCTCAAAAGAACATAAAAAGGGCTGGGTGTAGCTCAGTGGTAAGGTGCCTCTGGGCTCCATCCCCAGGGCTGCAAAAACCAAACTAAACCAAAACAAAACCAGAAAGGCTCTCCGGCCCTCTTACCAGCACCTGGAATTTCCAATTTAGCCTTTACTAGAAGAGCAGCTAAGCCTCAAGAATGGGGAGTCCAGGAGGGGGTGAGACACACAGGGCCTGGCCATCACCCCAGCAGATTCCTTCTTGACAACGCCCACCGTCTACATCTGTGGAGGAAACTGGGGCTGGGATGGGGGGATGTGGGGGGAGGCTCTGGTAGCCCCAGCACTAACCGGGAAGACCATGCTCGGGAATTCTAAGCCAAGGCGTTCACAGCAAGGCTTGGCCCCCACCCCACCCTGGGGTGTCCGGAGGAGAAGGAGGACCGAGCTGTGGGGAATCAATTCTGCAGATTTGCAGGGGTCTTTCCAGATTTGCAGGGATCTTCCCAAGAAACCATCTTGGGAAGAGGGTGGTAGGGGGTGTCACAAGCTACTACTCTTTAGCAGAGGGCATCCTTGCCTGGGGGTGCCAGCGGCAAAATGATCATCTCAAAAAATCAGATGGAGATGAAAGGAGGATTTAAAACTCAAGGAAATGCAAACTCCGACTTGGGATTTTTCCCCCCTAAGTGAATGTGGACGAAGTTGGAGGGGCCAGCAGGGGTACTGGGCTGGACAGACAGCTCCTATCCCACAGATACCCTGATTCCCCCCAGGAAGGACCCAGCAGGGTGAGCCCACGAGGGATGTTCAGCCTGCCCAGCAAGCGGGAAATGCAAATCATGTCCATAAGGGTATGGTGCCTCTACCAGTCACAAAAGGAGAACTCAGAAGATGTGTGTGATGGGGTGCGGGGAGTTGGCCTGGCTCGCTGTTGGAAGCTATCTATCTCGTACAGCCAACTCCCCACCCGAGGCAATCTGGCATTTCTCTGCTAATTTAAATGCCTACCCATCTCCAGGAAAGAATCACATTCCCCCAAAGCATCCATATAGGGCCGTCCATCATGACAACCAACAAGGAAAACACAGTGGGCCGGGCGGGGTGGCGCAGGCCTGTCATCCCAGCAGCTCGGGAGGCTGAGTCAGGAGGATCGCAAGTTCAAAGCCAACCTCAGCAAAAGTAAGCAACTCAGTGAGACCCTCTCTCTAAATAAAATACAAAATAGGGCTGGTAATGTGGCTCAGTGGTTGAGTCCCCTGAGTTCCACCTCCAGTACCAAAAAAAAAAAAAAAAGCCCACTCTTTCTTTAGGGACATAAATAAGAAATTCCCCACTTTGTAGAATACTAGGCAGTGTTTTAAGATAAGCAGATCTTAAAATATCCATATGGAAAGCTCTCCAAGACATGGAAGATGTTATAAAAGCCAAATGAAGAGTCATATGAACCAGAGGTTATGGTTTATGGGAAGCCCTGTGTATTTCTACAAAAACAATACAAATATGGCCATGCACCTACAAAGGTCTGTAAAGGAAGCCAGGTGCAGGGGTGCACACCTGTAACCCCAGCTGCTCAGGAGGCTGAGACAGGAGGATCTCACGTTGAATGCCAGCCTGAGCAATCTAGCAAGACCCTGTTTCAAAATAAAATTTTTAAAAAAGGGCTGGGGATATAGTGTAGCCCAGTGGTAGACAGCTTGCCTAGCTTGTGCAAGAACCCCAGGTTCCGTCTGGCATGGTGGTGCATGCCTGTAATCCTGGTGGCTTGGGAGGCTGAGGCAGAAGAAGCATGGGTTCAAATCCAGCCTCAGCAATATAGCAACACCCTAAGCAACCCAGTGAGACCTGTCTCTAAATAATATATTTTAAAAGGCTGGGAGTGTGGCTCAGTGGTTAAGCACCCCTGGGTTCAATTCCCAGTACCAAAAAACTAACAAAAAAACCTTCGTACCTTAAAAAAACAGTTTTATCTGAAGCATTTACAGTTTTTACTTTTAGAATATAGTCACAAATCCCATGTGTTATTAAATATATAGATTTTACAGTGTTATTGTATTTTTAGACATACATATATTTAGTTAGTTAATTAGTTAGTTAGTTAGTTGTTAGTTATATGTGGTGCTGAGGGTAGAACCAGAGCCTCCACATGCTAGGCAGGTGCTCTACAACTGACCACAGCCGCAGCCCCTATAGTTTTTTTTTTTTTTTTAAAGGGATTTCTCTCTGCAGCACACTAGCTTCAGTCACCAAACACAGCAAAATCTCCCCAGCTCTTGCCTCCCCCCCACTCCTTCCTGCCCTTTGAGTCCTATTACCTTCCCCGCCCCCACGGAGGGCTAGGAGCGCTGGGTGGATTCTCTAGCCGGGTCCCTGCTGTGTGCACAATGGGCTGCCCTCCTCTGCCCTCTGCAGGGCAGGTGGTTCCCACTGCCCGGCTGGAGATGGAAGGGGACACTTGTTCCCTCTCCCTCCTGCCTGGTGCCCACCCTGCCTGAGGCCCCGGTGGATGGGACTCAACTTCCCAGTGCCCACGGCTGTTCCCATAGACAGAGGGAGCTGTCCCCACCAGCAGCCAGGCTCTTCCCTCCTTGTCCCCAGCTTGTATTCAGCCAGGGGCTCTCTCTCCTCTGCAGACCTGGCTCTGCAGACCCTGCTGAGGTCTCCCCACCCCTACGCCAGCACCTAGTCTAGGGTTCGCTACTGGAAGATGGAAAAACTCTCCCCCTGCCCGCCCGTGTGAAACTTTGGGGCTCTACCACTGTGCTACATCCCCAGCCTTTTTTTATTTTATTTTGTTTTGAGACAGGGTCCCACTGTTGCCCGGGCTGGCCAGGAACTCACGGTCCTCTGGCCTCACCTGGGATCCTCCTGGTCTGGGGGTCACATGTGTGCCACACCGTGCCAGGCTAACTGCTCAGGTTTTCTAATGCGGTTCCCAAACTTTTTTCTGGGCTTCCCACAACAGAAGCCAGTCCCACGGCTGACCCTTCTCCAGGGACAATGTCCACCATGTGCTCCAGGCCACTCAATGCCCCAAGGGCTGGGGAAGCTAGTCCAGCCTTTGTCTCTCACCCTCTCTGGCCTCTCTTCCTAGACCTCCAGCCAGTGGCAGCCTAGAGACAGAGCGGCAGCTGGGCAGAGCCACCAGCCTCCTGACGCCAAAGGAGGCCCCATCTGGCCCGACCACCTGTGCGCAGTGGGGACAGTTCAATAGAAATAGTTCAATTCGAATTAGAGATCGGCGGGGGGCGGGCGGGAGGAGGCGCCCCGCTAGCCTCCCAGCCAACCTCCCACCTGCTGGCCCGCTGGACAGGGACGCTGGACGGGGACGTGGCGAGGAACGTCCCTGCGCCCGCCCGCGCCCTCCGCTGCGCCCCGGCACCACACACCGTCCGGGGCTGTGGACAGCCGGCGCCTCCCCAGGTTCCTGCCACCGCCTTACCTGTGGGAAGGCCCCGAGCGTCCCCACGAGCCACAGTCCCAGCGCAGCGCGGAGGGCGAGCATCCCGGGGGCGGGACACGGCCCGGGCTGCCACCCGCGCCCACCTGGGAAGCGCGGCGCCCACGTGCGGTCCGCGCTCGGGCTCGGGAGGTGCCGGGGCCACCTCGCCGGCACGCAACCGCACGCGGTGAAGTCACTTCAAAAGTGGCTGCCCCTTCTCCGAGGGCTGAGCCCTGATTCTTCCCTCCCCCGACCCAGAAGTGCTTCCAGGAACGCAGCCTCTAGCAGCGAAGAAGCGGGGAGCACGTGCCACCGGAGGGGACACGGGAGACACTCCCCTTCGCTGTTTAAATGGCCCGCCCCGGATTTGACGAGGTGGCGCTAAGGAGCGCGCTGCTGGTCTCAGCAAGGGCGCTAGGGTGGGAAAGGTCGCTGGGCCGTGGAGGTGGGACTGGAGATTGGGAGGCCCCAGGGGTCCCCAGGGCCCCCAGCCCCATCTTAGCCTAAGGAAGGGAAAAGGTGTCCTGACACCATTACTCAGGCCACCTCCCAGGCTCTCTAGATTCTTCAGAAGGGGCAGCTGGAGTCAGGAAACTGCAGAGAAAGCAACCACCATCCACCCTTCCCCACTCACAAAGATTTGCCGTGAAATGAACCAGGGGGTGGATGGAAGGTTGGGTAGTTGGGTTGGTGAATAGGTGGGTGCTTAAGCAGGTGGGATGGGTGAATGGACTCACTGTGGCAGGAACTCATGAACAGAGCATTTGGATACCAATCCACAGGCATTCCACTGCCACTGGAGGAGTCCGTGGGCACTCTCCTCTGAGGGAAAGAGGCAGTGCCGCTTCATCCTGATGCATAGAGCTCAGGATCCCTTCCAGCGCTTCCCCCTTCCCCTGGCTTCTCTCTTTGCTCCTTTCCTTCAACAGTCAATACATAGTCACTTATTGATCATCCACTCAAAAGAAAGGACATGGACCGCAGGTCGTGGGTGTTTTTGCCTGTGTGTGCATGTGCATGTGTATGTGTGTGTGTGTGGTGTTTTCAGGCATGGAAACCAAGGCTCAGAAACAAGCAAGCAGCCTGTGTGCTGTAAAGATGGGCTTATTGTTCTTCCTGAGCCCAGAATGGCTTGAGGACCCTCAGGCACCTCAGTCTGCTCCTGCAAAGTGTCAGGCCCCCACAGGGAGGGCCCCATAGATTGGGAACAGTTATCTCCCACCAGAACTTCCCAGTGAGGTGTCCAGAACTGACCACCCCACAGCCCTGTCCCTCTAGAACTCCTGATTCCACTTGGAAAAACTGATTCCCAATGTGCCTCTTCCCAAGAGCCACTGCTGACACTGCCTTTACTAAGTGATTGTGAAAGTCACCTGCCTGTGACACCCACAGCACCAGGTCGGGGCAGGAGGAACCCAGGATGCAGGCTTCCCATACATAGATTCCTCCTATAGAAGAGCTTGGGTTCCAAGTAAATAAATGCTTGTTAAACACACAAAGAGAACAAAACAGCTTACACAAGGGGAGCTACAAGTAAAAAGGGATTACAAGTCATAAAAGTTCAACTTTTCTAGTAATCAAAGACTTGCAGATTAAGGCAACCTTTGATATTCTTTTAGATCTATTAAATCATCAGTAGGTTTTTTTATGATTTATAAAAAAACAATTTTGGAAAAATCTAACCCCAAGGTTGTGGTGAAACCAGAACACTCATTCATACTCTGCTGGTAAATGTTACAACCATTTTCAGAGAACAGTACAGCAATTCTTAGCAATAGCCAACTCACCACCCACCACCAAAAAAAAAAAAAAAAATTGTCTACAACTTGTGGCTCAATAATTTCACCACTGAAGAAAAACCAAAGAAATAGTTCAACTGGAAAAAAGAAAACTATAAAAAAAGATTCCTAAGTAATGTTGTTTAAGAATTTGAGAAAAACCCTGAATCAGTAATTAAGGAAATCAAGCTTCATCCCTTTGATGGAATATTGCACATCCATTGAAAAAGATGATTCTGGAGATGATGTGAAAAATCTATCTTTCCCTCCTCTTGTTCCTCCCAGGGCTTCCCAGGGCACCATCTGAGCCACATCACCCAGGACACCCCCTGCACAGAAACCTTGCAGAGGTACAGGGCTCACCACCTGGAGAACTGTGCTCTTTATTTGACAATGAAGATAATGGGTGCTGCCAATGTGGTGGCACACCTGTAATGCCAGCAGCTCGGGAGGCTGAGGCAGGAGGATCATGAGTTCAAAGCCAGCCTCAGCAAAAGCAAGGCGCTAAGCAACTCAGTAAGACCCTGTCTCTAAATACAAAATAGGGCTGGGATGTGGCTCAGTGGTTGAGTGCCCCTGAGTGCAATCCCCAGTACCCCCCACCAAAAAAAGATAACGGGTGCTTTGCCTGCCTGCTTTATGCTAAAAGCTTTCAGGCACTGGCTTCTTGAGTCCTCACAGAAACCTCCTGGGGAAGATTCTGCTTTGGGCCTGTTCTGCAGGGGAAGAGCCGAGGCCCAGGGCCATGCCTCTCCCACTCTCCTGCTAGGGTGGGCCTTGCCTTCTGCCTTTGCGCTCCATGACCCTCCGCTCCCAAGCTCACACGGGGGACTGCTGCTTATCTTTAGAACTTGTTCCAACTCTGACTCCTCTTTGTGGCTTTCCTGGCACTGTCCCCTCCCCCCCCAGCCATCTTCCCAGTCAAACGACGGTTTCTGTCAGTTTTTTTTTTTTTGTATCTCAATTCTAGAACTTATCTCACGGTGTCATAACTGTAATGACTAGTCTGTGTATCCATCAGCCCAGGAAACTGTGGGCTCTTGGAGAACCAAGATGGCCCCAGGCACCCAGGCAGGACCTGGCCCTTGACTGTGAGCAGGTGACTGGTCTGCCATAGAGAAAGGCACTCCTGCAGCCAGGGAGCAGGCAGGAATCCAAGGGGGCAGGCAGAAGCCCTGGGCACGTCCATGGCTTGGGGCACCTCATGACCCTCTCCAGGAGTGAAAGTGCTTTAAAGAGTGGGAGGGGCGGGCGCCATGGTGCACACCTGTAATCCCAGTAGTGGGAAGGCTGAAGCAGGAGGATCCCAAGTTCAAAGCCAGCCTCAGCAAAAGCAAGGTGCTAAGCACCTCAGTGAGACCCTGTCTCTAAATAAAATACAAAATAGGGCTGGGGATGGGGCTCAGTGGTGGAGTGCCCCTGAGTTTAATCCCCTGTACCAAAAACAAAAGAAAACAAAAAACCTGGGAGGGGATGTCCACAGGCCCAGCAGAACTCTGTGTGGTGCTGCAGGAGCCCAAGAGCACACTGGCTGTGAGGGCCAAGCTGCCAGCCTGCTGGGGGCCAGGTCTGCAGCACAACATTGTGGCCAACTTCTCCAGGCAGGGGAGAGGAAGGTGAGTGTGCAGGAAGACCTTCCCAGGGGACCAGGAATGTGTCACCAAGGGATGCTGAGCAAGACCCAGGTCCCAACTTGGTTCAGGAAATTCAGGGACTTCCCCAACAGCTGGAAACCCCAGCCCCAAATGGCCCCAAAATACCCTCAACAGATAAAGGGATTCTTTCTGCCGCAGGCAAACGCGGCAGCCAGGTAGAGAGGCTTCTGAAACCCGGGGGCACCTGGACCTTTCTTCTGATGAGCCCAGGTGCTTTTCTGAGTGCCTTTCTTGAGCCTGGAGGACATAGAGCTTGCCCTTGGGGGGCTTCTCCGGGTCACCCTTGGGCACTGCTGGGTCCCCAGTGGCAGGACTACTACACACACCAGCCTGCCTTCAAATCAGCCCCTGAGCTTTGGCTCAGCCCTGGTTTGGGTGTCTCCGAAGGTCTGCAGTGCGGAAAGCTAACTGAAGCTTTAAGGGGAGGTCCTTAAGTCATTGGGGGCGTGCCCTCAGAGGGATCCTGGGACTCCAGTCTCCCTTTGGCTTCTGGCTCCCAGAGGGGATATCTCGCTCTCACACAAGTGCCTACCATTGTCATCTGCCATGAAGTGACACAGTCCAGGCTACAGCCCCCACCAGACCCTGTGCTTGCTGTTTGGGCTTTGAGTCCCCAACTGCAAGCTAAATAAACCTCTTTTCTTTGTAGAGTTGGCCTGCCTCCGATGTTTCATTATATAATAAGAAGCAGACTAGGATCTCCCCAGAGCTCCAGGACGCTTTCTGGATCCTAGCGACTCAGCCCTGGCGCGATGAAGGCCAGAGATAGGCTGTTAGCAGTTGATGTCCTTGAAGCTAGGAGCAAATGTTCAAGGTGCCCAGCTGCCCACTAATGGACATCCCATTAATGTGGATGGTCCATGTGCTAGTTGATGACCAGAGTCCCCAGTAATGTACACCCACAAGCAGGATTCCCGGGAGCCAAGCAGACCAGGCAAACTGTGCTGAGCCTGGTTGGAAACTAAGCACAGGGCTCTGCCTTCCAGAACTGGGTCTGTGCTTCTTTCCATGGCAGGAGGGCAGACTCTCAGGCCCTTGGACTTGAATTTGGTCGCTCTCCACTGTAACACTGTCACTCAGCATTTAATTAAATTTAATCCTGGTACCAAGATTCAGGTTAGTATTAGCAAACCTCCAGTTTATAGGTGGACAAACTGAGACTCAGAGTCATCGAGTAACTTGTCTGGGGTTACCCAGCTTGAGAGTGGCAAAGTCAGGACTTGGTTCCCACCTTGTCTGACTCTCGAGCCTTGGCTTCCTCCACTTGGGTCTTGGGCCCCTCTGGCCCTTGCTTTCCAGGAGCAAGAGCCCTGGGTGGGGGTCCTGGAGAGCCCAGTCATTCTGCGCTCTGAGTGCATTATGTATCCACTGCTGTGTTCCTCAAAACTTATTGGCTTAAAACAAGTATAAGCCAGGTGAGGTGAAGCACTTCTGCCATCTCAGCAACCCAGGAGGCTGAGGTGGGCAAGGAGGATCACAAGTTCAAGGCCAACCTGGGCAACTTAGGGAGACTCTGTCTCAAAATGAAAAATAAAAAGGGCTGGGGGTGAGTCCGGACAGAGTGTCCTCGAGTCCGATTCCAGTTCCAACAAAGGAAGGAGCAAGGGTCAGCCTCTGCTCCACTCTTTCTGGGGTCGCCGATTCAGGACTTCAGGAGGTTCTGGCTCAGGTCTGGGAGGCTGAAGGACTGTGGTCACCCACAGCCTTACCTGGGCTGGGGGACCTGCATCTGGATGAGCTGCTCCAGGCCTCGGTGGGAGACTGGGTCCCCTCTGCCCGAGCAGCTGGCTCCCTCCACAGCAAGTGACCCAAATGATCAAGACGCAGTGCCTCTTGGCACTTGACAGTGCGGCTGTCCCCAGTGAAGGAGAGGGCTGCACACCCAGGAG